ACCATGAAAGGTTCTGGCCAGTCGCATTATATGAATACAATTCTGCAATCAATGCCGTTCCTTCTGGTTTAATCAATCTTATTACAGAGCAGTTATGTTTTGGTGAAGGAAAAATCCCAGAGGCTCCATTTGCATTGATTTTGAATGGTATCAACATATTTGACGTGTATCTCATGTGTTGTTGTGTTCTGGTTTATACCTGACATTTTTTGTACGTTGTTTAAACTCCATGTCGCCAACTCCTTGTGTCAGTGTGAAGAAGACTGAAACTGTTGTAGCTTGTGGTTTGTTTTTGTTTGAATATATTACAGAGATGCTGACATTATGAAAATTAAAAGATGCAGAATGTGTTCCGGAACAGAACGTAGTGTCATGTTCTGTAGAACCTCTTTGTGAGGCCAAAAGTTGGTAAGTACAAGTGGAATGTTGCAACAGACAGTTTGACTACAGCAGTCAAACAGTGCAGACGGACATCACAACTTGACTCGAATTTCAAAAGAGATCCACAACACCGCGAAGATGCTCGGACAACGTATTTTTGGCCGAAAGGTTTGTCTCTATCTCTCTTTCTGCAGATCCATGGCTTTTAACGTGACCTTGTGAAATGAAAAAGTTTCCATGACTTCAGTGTGTTTTTCGATACTTGCAGTCAAATTATAGTCTATCTAGAGGTTTTTTTGTAGTTCAGCACAGATGCTAGTGTTACCCTGATTCCCTCGACAAAAGCAGAGGGGATTTTCCCCTTATATTCGATTATTGCAGGAAAACAACAGTTTATGATACTTGTGTGTTTTGTACAGCAAATAATCTTCAAATACTTACACCACTGTTATGATTTTTGAAGTGTAAATGTAATCAGCGGAATTTAAAAAGCTAATGTTATCTGAATTACTTCATTCACTACCCCAACAAGGCTGTGAAGCTGTCAACGTGATGACACTCTGTAGTCTCATTTAATCACTCGTTAGCAACCACCTTTGTAAGACACCTAAAGGCTTAAAATTTCACAAGTGGGATATTTGCTGACATATCTTATGTCCTAGAACAAAATGTGGTGTGGTGTTAAGCACAGACCTTATTTCAGGCACCTAACAAAACCAGATTCAAAAACTGCATTGACTTCAAGACAAGGAAACCAAGTGTGCAAAAATGCAAACTCATTTTCAGGGTTTAGGACTCATTCCCAGACTACTCTATAAAGGCATTTTAATTTTCAGTCAGTGTTCATCTTATTTTTCTTTATTCTTAACAGAAGAAACAAGGATCTCATAAGAAGACTGTGGCTGATGAGAAGAAACAGCACTCCAGCCATCAGACAAGGTAAGGACATACACTTCAATACAAAATACACTTCAGTGGTCTGTTTCATTCGCTGCCTTTATTAAGGGTTTAGAAGGATTTTACCAGAAATAAAGTAGTATTAATACAAGTATTTACATTTTTTAGTATGTAGTTTCTTGGTAGTAATCCAAACCTTTAAGAGTTAGTGCCAGAGCTGCAGACCTGAGATTTGAAAGTTTTTTTAACTGGTAAAATCTTGGAGCGCTAAAAAAATAAAATAATACATGTACAGGCAACATGTACAAACTGTCTGAGATTAGTGTTTTTAGTGTCAAGTGTTTAAGTTTGACGCAAATTGTTTCTGATTGTGTTTAACTGTGAGAGTGATTTTTTTCTGGAAACAATTCTTGCAAATGATTTATGATTCATTTATCTGGCCTCGAAAGTAGAAAAACTAACTGTGTCTCTCTTAACCACCAGTGGAGGTGTCCAGGATGTACCTGCTGCTCCAGTCTCAGCAAAGCCAGCTTGGGAGGACCGACAGCCAAAGAAGAAGAGCTGGTGGAATCGCCTCTTCGGTTACCTTGACGTATGTTTGACGTCAGAGTGTCAGAGCTTCACATTAATCTCATTTTAGTAGACTGTAACATTTATATTTAAACATTTTAGTTGGAAATGGCTGCGAAAAAAGAAGTTTAAAACAGTTTCCTCATAATGTTGCTTTGGTTTTCACTCTACAGAAGAAAAGTGTTCCTGGTAGGAGGCCTTCAGCCCCACAGGAAAGGTAAGATGCTCATTCAGAGTGCGTTTTTGTTTCTACAGACATGTTGTTTGCTAACTCTTTAATTTTCCCCACAATACTCCAGAGATGAGCACAAGGACACAGAGTGTCTGTATGATTTATCTCTGTAAAATAACCAACCATGTTTCTCTTTAGATCTACTGTCACCACCTCAGACGCTCAAACTGCGTCACAAAAGCAAGCCATGAGGAATTTTTGGCGTTGGCTGTCGATCAACGGCGGGGTATGTTTCACAGCAAAGAGCCAATGTCACCAGATATTCATCAGCCAGGACTCAGTGAGAGTACTGATATAGTTAATTGTTATGTTTGCATTATTGAACAATTCAAGTTTGTTTTTCCTCCAACAGAGAAAACATCGCGTCTCACCAGTCAACATCACCAACGACAAAAAGACGGACTCACCAAACCCTGAGAGGAGGTAGTGACATTCATTCCATGCTGCTTTCAGTGTCTGTCAGGAACATAAACAGTTGATAATTTTTCTTAATTCCTCTCATATTCACTGACTAATATTCTCACATGGATAAACTTTTCCTAACATATCATATTTTTAACTATAAGTAACCTTAATGAAATCATGTTCTCCCAGTTTTTTGGTCAACTTATAAACACACACTCTGTTCTGTCAGCCTCTTGGTTGTTTATTAACCATGTGTTTGTGTTTTTTTGTTTTATCTCCATAGCAATAAAACAAACAACATCAAGTGCTTCGGGTGAGTACATTTGCACATTAATCAAAGTTGTAATGAGAGATGAATCCATCAAATCAAACTGAAATACCTGTTTGTGATTGGTCAGTGAAGAATGAATACTGACGTGTGTTTTGACTCGCTGTGTTTCTGTATCAGATTTCCAAACATTGGGCAGACCTGCTATATGAACGCAAGCCTGCAGAGTCTCCTAACATTAAAGGACTTCACTGGGGGCATCAGTCGCATGGAGCAGGTCTGGAGCTCAGTACCTGAGGCTCAACTGATGAGGTACAGCAGCCACACACACACATTCACACTTACGTCATTCTCAAGTTTTTCCACAAACCTGAGTACCAAAATGAAACACATGCAAAAATGTCTCTTTTTTTCCTCTCGCCTTCTGCAGAAGCTTGATGGATGTCAGGGACGTTCATTCGTCCATAGACGCACGACTTAAAATCTCCCTCCTGAAGTCCTTTAAGGATGTGGTCTCTGCCCAGGCACCTGAGTTCTGGGACACTCTGCAAAAGGTGAGTCAGCAGCCTTTACATTCTGTTGTTTCACCTCCTGACTGTCTGGGCTCTGTGTTTAAACTCTTCTCTGTGTATTCAGGACGCTCATGAGTTCCTGACTACAGTCCTGGAACAGATGAGAGGTCTGGCCCCTCTGCTGCAGGAGACAGCAGCTTTCATGGGCACACATTATACCTGCCCTGTAGAGGATCACCTGGTGATCACAATGGAGAACACCAGGACATGCAAAAGGTGAGACGCCACAGTTCAGGGTCACACACAGTCAATTTTTAATGGTGCCACCTTAATGATCTGGTCTTGAATAAGCCCTGCTCTTGTCCTTGTGTTGTGACCACTGCAGCCAATATTAATGTGTATTGTCTCTAATGTGCAGCTGTGGAGCACAGTCAGTGAGACAGCAGGAATCCACAAACCTGTCTCTAGACCTCCTCCCTGGAGGCTCTGTGGAGGAGATGCTCCAGGAGTACCTTAAGGTAAGATCCACAAATCCTCCTTCAGTCACATGATCACTGACTGATCTAAAACATCATGCAACACACACACACACACACACACACACACTGCCTCTGTCTGAGCATGTGGACGTGTTGTAGTTGTGTTCATAACACACAGCCTGTTTCTCTGTGCTGCTCTGCAGGAGACGGAGGTGGAGTTCAGGTGTGACTGCGGAGGGAACAAGTCGAGCTGCAGATCATCCTTCCTCACTCTGCCACAGTAAGTGACATCACATCTGACATAAAATCGTCACCTGACCTGGGTGGTTCCCAAACTGGGGTCCACTGACCCTGAGGGACCGTTGAGAGTCAGTTGATCTCAGCGTCAGACACCGACGCACAGAGACACCCTTTGTGGCAGTATGACACGCAGCGGGCAGCAGCAGTTTGTGACGCTGCCTGCAACAACTGTAGTATAAAGGGAAAGAAAGTCTGTATAGGGCAGACAGGAGGGGAGGTGAATGGGTCACTTTAAGCTCTGAGCCAACTGTTCACTTTCAGTGTGAAACCAAAATCAGTGGAGTTATTCTGATAATAACATAGTGTGCTAACGTGTGTAGCACGCTACGCTACTTAAGTATGTCACGTGACGTATGTAACATAACGACATTGGTAACGACTGAACCTTTTTTAAGCCAAACCATGTTGGTTTTTGTCTACATCTAACTTTAGTTGCCTAAACCTGAAATAGAAAGGAAGTAAACATAAAAATTAAGTCTTTTACCTGCGTTGCAAGTTTATTTTGAGAGAGAACTTATGCACGTAACGAGCAGAAACTGCACATTTCCTGTGAAAACAGAAGTGTATTTTGAAAAGACACAATGCATCTAAGGAGCGTAGATTATCGTGTCGTCCCTGAATATCCAAAGCTGATGCAGGGGGGTACCTAGGGTGTCATATTTTGGTGTAGGTCCACTGACAAAGCGTCAGTATCTGACGTGTTAGGATGAGAATGTGTTGCTCCACTTTGTCTTTAGGCTCAACATTAATCCTTTCATATTTTCATACCTTCTCCTTCAGAGTGCTCATCCTGCAGCTGAAGAGGTTTCGTTACTCTCCCTTCTTTGAGCTTGAGAAGGTTCATGACCCTGTCAGGCTGACAAGGGACCTGCTGGTCTCCTCCACACAGGTAAAGAATAACAGAAACACAAAAATCAGGCTCACGTGAAAGTAAACATGTGTACAGTGTGTGCTGTTGTTTTGTGTGTACGTGTGAAACTAACTCTTATGAACTGTGTTCCTTCACAGGATGGAGGCTGCTACAGCTTGGTCAGCTCCATCAGCCATTTTGGCTCCACAGAAATGGGTAAGAGAAGCACACACTGAAGGCTGAATGTGACCGTCTGTCGTCCTCTGTCATGCTGTAGATAGAAACGTTTCAGGTCCTGATGGAATTAACCAATTTTAATTATTCACTTTATTTATTCTGAGTAGTTTTAGTGGAACTTTATGTAGAAAACCATAAAAGTTTTAAACATCATGTCATATTCAGAATCTTTTTGATACCACTTTCTAAGTTGTAACTAATGGTTTTATGAATAGTTAAGAAATAAATAATAATGCTTTATAGGTGAGTTATTCGCCGAGCTGTCGTGATTCTGAAAATTCCCCTTTGTCTGTTATCAGTTAACCTTCATAACCTCCACTATGTTTCAAGATATTAATCAAGCTCTCTCTCTTAATAGGACACTACATCAGCCAAGGCATCCACCCAGACCACAATCCGGACAAACCAGATGATCATTGGCTCACCTACAATGATTCAATGGTCTTTAAGACGTCCGGCAAGTTAGTCTGTGAGCAGCGGAAGAGGGGTGCTTACATCCTGTTCTACAAGAGAAGTAAGAGGACAACACCGTCACATCCTTAACTCAAGTCCTGAAAAAGAGAGAGATTTTTAAATGCGCCAACATAGTGTTTATATAAAGTGTGTTGTCTTCATTCTCAGTAGTGTAACCCAACTGATGACGTGATGTCGGACTAAGACACCTGGACACAGTCAAGACGTGATGTCAGACTAAGGGACCTGCCACAGTCAAGACGTGATGTCGGACTAAGGGACCTGGATACACCACACGGAGACAGGATGACCATCATGGAGCCAGGAGACCCGCCGCGGGACAAGGAAGGTAAGTGAGTTCCTAATCTTGTCTGTTTTCTTGGTGCAGTTGTTCAACGTGACGGTGGACAACAGATGACCAGGAAAGACGACTGGAGGATGAATGAAGAAGATGTCCCGTGGCCAGGAGCAGCTGACGGTTCCCTTGCCCTTAGGAGGATGGGCCCCCCCAGAGAGCCTGGTTCCTCCCAAGGTTTCTTCCTCTTGTGGGGAGTTTTTCCTTGCCACTGTCGCCTCACAGTCACTGGACAGCAGGACAGACCCAATTCATCTCATCAACATTGACACCACAGTTGTGGAGATGGTCCTGCATTGTGCCAGAGTATGGCTTGCTCTCTGGGGAGAACTACAAAAAGAAAATCAAAGAAAATAAATACTATTGGACTTTAGGATTTTGTTGGTTGTATTTTAATGTATTTGTCAGTGGGAGTTTTTATAGCTGCATAATACAGCGCCAATTCCAAAAAAGTTGGAACACTGTGTAAAATGTAAATAATAACAATCAAATCCTTTTTGACTTATATTCAAAATGAATAAAGTCCAAAGACAAGATATGTAATGTTCAAAATAATAAACATATTGGTTTTTGTAAAATACACACTTATTCTGATGTTAATGTCTGCACACGTTCCAAAAAAGTTGGGACAGGAGCAACTAAAGACCAGGGAAGTTGTTGAATGCTCAAAAAACACCTGTTGGAACATTCCACAGGTAATAAGGCTAATTGGTAAATGATAGTATCATTTTTAAATATTTTAATGAAAATAAACTGTTGATTCATGAATTTGTCAACTGTGTTATGGACAAATGTTGTGTCATAGAAAACATGAATGAAGTACTACACATTTTTTAAAAAAAATTGTTTTTGAAAGTTCTAGAGTCTATTCACCAGGGGCTTAAAGGTTTTCTGTCTAACTGCTTTCAAAATATGAATTTTGAGCTGGATAATGGACTTTCTATAGGATACTATCATCATGGATGAGTATTGTTTCAACATAAATCCACATTACGATGAATTTAGAGGTATTCAACATCCTTATGCAAGACATCCCTCAATAGTGACACCCCACACCATTTTTGTTACAGTTTAGTCAATACTGAATAGATTTATAACAAAAAAACACCAGTATGTAACACAGTTGACAGACAAAGTAACACAGTTGACAGGACGCATAACATAGCCACATAGCCATGTGGAACAGGCAAACAGAAACCAGGGGTGTGGAAACAGAAATCTTTGTTGAGAACAGAAGTTGGTTGAGAGCAGCTGAGTGGTGTACTCGGGAGGAGGTGAAGCAGGAGAGTCAGAGGCATGCGAGATCAGCTACGAGAAAGCAGTCGGGGGACACGCTGGGAAGTTTTGCATTGGAATGACAAAGAACAATCTGGCAACGAGGGTCTGTGAAGCTGGAGTTTTTATAGTGGCAGGGAGGCCCAGGTGAGTGGAGCTGGCTTGACAAGATGGGTGTGGTGGACCAGCAGGAGTGGGAGATGTGTGGACAGGTGAGAGGCTGACAGGCAGGTGAAGTGGAAAGGCAATGTGAGTGGAAATTTACTGGGTTAACTGAGGAAGTGGCATGTATGGCAGGACGGAATTGCACACTGTGACACTGAGACAGATGTAAAGCTCTGGGTCGTCCTACATTAAAATGATCAATGATGACATAAGCCGTTTCTCAATATGCATTCCTGTGCGGACTCGTGTTCTTGTGGACTTGTGACACGTCACTAGTCAAAGCCCAAGTACTGTTCCAATTCAAAGTTCACATCTAGCCAAGTTCAGTCCAAATGCCCGGATGTGTTCTTGCCACGCCCCTTTTACCGGGCATGCATCGGAGCAGACTTGTGTGGACTTAAGACAGCCAGGTATCCCAGCATGCATTTCGCAACAATCATCAGAAATGGCAAGTGAGGGAAAGGCGCACAATTGTAAGCCATAATTACTGATATGTTACTACTGTTTTGTCACGGAATGTAGTGTTTTCATGCGTAGTTTAAATTTCAAACCTGTGGTCGATTTATTAATATAGAGCCCACTTGAATGTAATCTTTTTCAAGGTAGCCCTGGCTGAGATAGCAACAGTACATTGTTTCAAACAACATACACACAAACATTAAAAACACATAATACAAAACACACACTATGAGATCATTAACAACCTGACAGGAGGAAATATGGCCGTCTACAAACATTAAAAACTCCTGGCTGATACTGTAAGTACAACACATGGTATATGATGAAGACTTAATACGTACCATAAATTCTCTTCAAAGTCAACTAGAAAAAGGTATTAAAGCTGTGTTTACTGGACCTTTCATCCACCAATCTTGAGGACGGCAGGGGGCCTGGACATCATGAAATAATCACAAATTAATAGAGTTCCAGTGTTTGACACATTTCTCCACGAATGACGCAAAGGTCCTGTTTAAAAATCAAAGCAAGCAGCAGGTCTCTGAAATGTGTCATTCTGTTTGACACCCCGAAGAAATGAAACAGTACATTCTTCACCGGCTGAACAGTTAGGTAAAAGGATATTAGCTGTTTCCTTCGTTTCTCCCACAGCACCCAGTAAACAACAATAAAACAGAGGGGAGCGACTTGTTTTGATTGATGTTATTGTAAGACTTGCATGGCTTTGACAAAATCAAATTAAGGATTCATGTTGAGACGGACTATGGAGCTCCAGCAATTTTCAAATCTGTGCGGAAACTGCTTTTCATTGCTGTAAAATATGATTGAGGTCTGGAGAACACTTCTTCCTTTCAGTCCTGTTTCCCTCAGTGTCTTAAAGGGTTTCAAAGACACCTGCTGTGGATAGTTCTTACTGCTGCCTTGTTCTGAGGCTTTCCACCTGAGATCCTAGATGTAAACTAAGCACTTTGTTTGTGTTAATCACAAACTCTCTTTATGTAGTATTGTTTATTGTGGGATTTATTCCAGTCTTGCTTGACTGAATGAGTGTAAGGGACTGTTTGTTATTTATGAGGGGGTGGTGCAAAAAGGGGAAGGCATGTCAAATAATTTTTTAAGCACTGGGGAGGGACTTGTGTTTTTTATTTTGGCTTAAGGGAGGGGCATACAAATTTAAATAGCTGCATTTTGTATTGTTTTGTTTTGTATTGACAGTGGATCTTCAAGCGTTTATGTATGTCAATTTTGACCGGGTCATGTGAACTGCATATATCCTAATCCTCACTCTGACCTCATCAGAGGTCATGACACGACATGAAAGGTACCCTGTATGCGTTGGTTGTTGACGTTCTGGGATGTTGTGTCAAGTTTTGCCAGTTACGTGCATTGTCTTCTTTCAAAGTACACTTCCATTTTCAGAGGAAATTTACTGTTTACATGCAGTCTCTTTAAAAATAAAGAGATGCAAATTGACTTTTTTTTTTTTTCTCCAACAACTAACGCACATGGTTGGTATAGCCAACAAAAGCATGTGTTAAAGGAATATGCAGACGATTTGGGAGTAATGCCCTTTCTCTATTATTTTCATATTGAGACAACATGATCAATATCTTTTTTGTGTCTGTACGTTCAGTGGCTGGGTCTCAGCGGTTAGCATTGCGGCTTAGCTTAGCCAATACAATTGAACTCTATAGGGGGTCAGTAGCCTACTTGTAAAAGTGAACAAATAAACGTTACAGAAACCCTGAAGCTGGCATTTGTACACGTGCATTTAAAATAAACATGTTTAAACATTAATTCGAAAAATGAGAGTCCTTTTTAGTCATTTTAGAAAAAGTTTGATACACGGAATTATAGTGTGTTTACGCCCTGTGCAGAGGGATACACCGTGAGCAACAGCTGCAGCTGGCTCTGGGACAGGTACGCTAGGTCACTTGGTAAAAGCAAACAAAGAGACGACACAGATGATCATAAAGCCTGGGGCGTTTTTTCCAGTTTATCTTAGGAACATGAAAAAATGTTTCAATCACGCCAGGATTAGTGATTGCTGCAAAGTTTTCACTCCTGGTGATGCACTCTCTGCGGCAGTTTTCCTCCTGATGATATATCTCCCCAACGATGGTAGCACCGAATCCCATTCTGTGCAGCAAAATGATTCCACCTCCATAGGCATAGGTTGGCAAGCCCCGCAGCTACACCACCAGTCCTCCCCTGACCTCCGTCTCCCCTCTCCCCCTTGCTGTTCTGCTGCCTCGGAGGATTCAGCCTCTCTTCTCGCCCGCTCAGCATCCAACACCTGGAGTTCCTCATCTGTATGCTTCGGCTCAAACAGGTATGGCTCTGGATCTCTGTCTGCTACAAGAAACTCTTCAACTGAGTTTTGTTTACAGGCTACGTCTGTGCCTGTGCCTGCTCACCGGTGTATCCCTCCATGGATCACAGCACAGGGCGTAAACACACTATACTTCCGTGTATCAAACTTCTTCTAAAATGACTAAAAAGGACTCTCGTTTTTTTAATTAATGTTTAAACATGTTTATTTTAAATGCACGTGCAGAAATACCAGCTTCAGGGTTTCTGTAACGATTATTTGTTCACTTTTACTGCAGGCTACTGACCCCCCATAGACTTCAATTGTATTGGCTAAGCTAAGCCGCAATGCTAACCACTGAGACCCAGCCACTGGACATACAGACACAAAAAAGATATCGATCATGTTGTCTCAATATGAAAATGATAGAGAAAGGGCATAACTCCCAAATCATCTGCATATTCCTTTAAGGTTTAGGAAAAAAGAACAGGGTTTGGTGATCACCATTCTCCCGGGTGAAATTCTATGTTTGTTGGACCCATCCACCACCTCTATCCCCCACCTTACTCTGACTTTTGTGCCTTAATTTTTGTTCTTGTCCCGCTGTGTTTCCCCGTCACCACCGGATTTTGACAACTTCGGAGTGAGACCAGGTTGTTGCGGTGCGTTGTTCCTATGGTCTCTGGCAACACTAAACCCCTGCGCTTGCCTGAGAGAGCAAATCTCTCTCTGTGTCTCCAGTGAAGAGCGAGTAAAGTGAATGACCCCCGCCCACATTTAATCGCACTGTTTGCGATGGAAACGCTAAATGGACCTAGGGTCTAGGTACCATGTCTGAATGGTTACTTTTGGTTCCAAAGGTACTATACCGAAAGTGTTTTGGTGGAAACAGGGCTCATGTCTCATTTAAAATTTGACAAGTAAAGAACAGTCCCTTACTCATCGTTTCTATTCCAAAGCCAAATACAAGTTGGTTTTATTGTGCAGTGCTGGTGCTGAATCATGTTAATAAATGGCTCCCTCTTCTATTGTAGTTCTCCTAGCTGTTGTTTTGCCTTTTGTCTTGTGTTTTGCTTTGTTCATTCAGCTCCTTAATTTCTGCTCTGTTACTGTTTCTATTTGTTTTGCCATGGGTAT